ATAGTTTGTTTCCAAATACGAGCTTAAATTCAGTGCAGAAGTTCCAAAGTTTGGTTGGTTTCTTCACTGTAACTTGTGTGGATGCCTCTAAGGAACATTTTTACTAGTAGTACAGTACTTAGGAGATGTTTTATCAATGAATTTGTTGACTTTGATCACAAAGTCCCAACCTTAAACTTGTCGTGAGCTTAGTCATCCTACTTCTCCCTCTGTGGTTGCTGCCCTTCCTCAAGAAGGAGAAGATGCAAGAAATCTAAAATGAAATGGCAACTTCTTCCCTGGCCAGGAGGGGTGGGCTGGCCCCCGAGGCACTGGCATCAGCTTTGCAAATAGAGAATGAACTTCACTCATCACCTGCCACTTGATATCCTTATCAAAGCAAAGGCTGCTGGAGGGGACCATTTTATTAAGGCTAGAAATTCTTTGGGGAGAACAGTCACACGTGCCCTGACATATGGAAATGTATGTAATTTCATCTGATGAGACAGCCAACACTCAGATGGAACAGCAGCACTCTGGCTGGAACAGGTAACACCCAATGAATAGTGCATGTGTGACTTCTCCCTGTGCTTGATGATTTCAAAGGCCAGAAGAGATCATTGCCTGCTATTATGGCTAAAAACACAGTCTGTTCCCTGCTTGTTGACCAGAATATCTATATTCAAGTGGAACTGAACCATACAAGCTCTCCCTGCTCTGAACAACTGCTTATTCTGCTTATTTGGTGGTGCTAATTGATGGGTCACAGGATGGGGTATTTAGTAAATTAAGACATGGAAATACATCAGATGGAGAAAAAGCTGGAATTCCATACCACAAAAAAAATTTTAATACTAAAGTACAACTGAGCACACCTGATGAATTTCTATCACACTCCAGCCTATCACTGACTCAGCCAATGGCCAAAAAAAGGGATTTTTTTTCCTACATCTCTTCACACACTTGCTGAACAACTCATAGATCTTGGAATAAAATACAGTGCAGAAAAAGAGAAGTTCAGTGGGTACAGAAGACATCCGCTTTTACAGGTCACTTCTTAAAATCAGGAATGAATGCAGGCAGACTCTACTTGCAAAGTAAGGTGCAGAAAGCAGATGGGCACTGGGCTGTTGGTGATGAAACAGCCTCCTCTTTTCCAGAAAACACCAACCTAGTGTTCACCATGGTGAGAAAGAAGCTCAAGCACAATCAGGACAGTAAATCTATACAACGTTTGCAAAGTCTACTTCAGACTAATGCATTCAAAATATCCAAATGCAACTTCATCCATAGTCTCAAATTCTGTTTTCTAATTTGGTTTATTAACGACACGAGGCAGAAACTGTCACCATGGGTTTATAAAGTAACCAGTGCTCCCAGGAATCCAGACTCATTTGGGACACTGGATATAACTAAGAGTTTAAAAAAGGAGAGAGAATGTACCAAAACAACTGTTTTCCAACATGATCCATAGACCTGACCAAATTAAATCCTGCATATGTGTATTTTAATTATATATATCACCCATCTCAGCACAACAGCAGTTGTAGTTATGGGACCAACCACTGAATTTGATCCATTATAGCATTTGTTCAAAGCACTGAATTCTTTGACCTATACTATTTCCTGTATGTCCATGGAAGTTCCAAAGATAAATCCCTATTGTGATTCCCTCTCACGACTCATATTTGGTCAAATATTTGAAACTCCTTTTGAGCTCAGGGGTGTCCATCAAGAGGTGATGATATGCTCCAAGAAGGGAAGGATCTTGAGTGCAGACAGGCACAAGGCAGCAGAAATATGTGCAAGACCAACTTAAATAAACTACTTAAACACAAGATGCTAATTTAGCAGTTTCAAGGGCCGTATTTTTACAGCCAACCCAACATATAAAAAGAAACAAAATTGCATTGGAATAACGTAACCTCACTGTTGCTTTGAGTGTTGCATTTATTCAAATACAGCCCATCCAGCCCTCAATTAGCTGCTTTCTCACTCCAACTGCAGCAGATCTGCAGTGCATAGAAATGTAATTATTCACACACCATTCTGTCATTGCCACCACTGCCTGTACTTCTAAAGCGTCTTGATTACTCTGCTGATGAGCACCATGGAAATGCCTATAAATAAAATAATCATCTCCCCTCATTAAGTTCCAGCTCACGGACTGAGGAAGGATGATTTTCCTTTGTACGTTCCTTTTGTAAATTCTATCATTTCACAACAGAGGGAGCAACGTGCCTCTGATGACACTCAAAGAGACAGACTGTCAGGATTCTTGTCAGTATTTCAGCTTTGAGCAGCTTGCGTTTTTGCATGAATATTTTCTCCTGAAAATAAAGTGCTGTTTGTCAGAATTATGCATTCAGTAATCCCTTTCTAATGTCAGAATCAGGCATGCAAAAGCCCCTAATGTCATGTCAGGAGGTCAGATTTTATGGAGCAGTATGTCATGGAAACCCCAACAGCAAGCACTGCACCCATAGCAGAAGCCTCTGGTTCTAACTTCAACACTAAGAACACACATAGGTGGAAAATTTCAAATAAGCTTAGATATAACAAAAACCAAACAGTGAAGGAAACTTTCCAATAAAAACAAAGCCTTGGTGAAACAGGTTTGTCCTTCAAGAAGCTTCGACATTAATTGATGCTGCAAACAAATATCACACATCCCCTTATTGTCAAATCACAAAATCTCTCCCTTTTCAATAACTGCAATACTGGGTGTACATTTACATACAGTGTAACTCCCAGTAGTGCCTCCAACACGCAATGAAATATCACATTTCATAAAAGGGTGAATTATAAAGCCAGTGAAACAAGTTAAATGTGATATCTGTACTCAAGACTTTACTGAAATTACATTTCTGCAACAAAAACTGATGAAGTTGTCGGGTTGCCCCAGTCAGACCAGTGCTGAATTATGGCCCCATACACTGTACAGCTGTCAGAGTTTGACAGGAGGAAAACCAGGTTGCCTTTTAGTATCTGGTTCAAGAAGAGTCATGCGTGGTGTGGTGCCTGCTATGGAGAGCAGTCGGCAGTAAGAATTGCCAGGTTACAAAGATATTTGTGTCCCTGTAGCTCTGTCCAAAGCAGTATCTCCCAAAAGAGACTGCAGCACTAACCCCCTGCTAACCCACAGCAGCACTGCTCCAGGCAATCTGTAACTTGAGAGCAAGCAGCATCTCCCAAATCCCCACTTGGGAGTGAACACAATTGCACAGGCTGGTCACCAGGCCACAGGCTCAGGTCAGGCCATGGGCTGATCTTGTCTGGCTCTCTGGCCAGAGGTGAGGGGGAATCACCACTTACTCCTGTAACTAAAAGAGGAAGAAGAGAACAGTTTGATGGAAGCTTCTGGGACATCCCTATTTCTGCACACCATCCAAAGTAACATCTCACCTCCCAAATGCCAGTTGTTCTCAAAGAACTGAGGCCATTCACAAGTTCAGATGAAGATCCTCGTTCACAACTATGAGAGCAAAGGTACTCTGGGTGTCAGCATGAGCAGGGAGCTGCTCTCAGATCAGATCTATTTATTAAACCCTTTGTAAACCTGCTGTTATCCAACAGGCATGATCCTGTGCCCATATATTATTTCCTCAGTGAGGACAGGTCATTTAATACCCTCTTTCCTCACTCCCCAGTCTCTTCCAAGGTTTCCAGTACATCACTCCCTGTATCACAGCTTATTTACATCATGCTACTGTACCTAAGGGTAGTGTAGCTGGAGAGTCACCTATTCATGTTAAAACTATATGTCTTAGGAAATAAAAGCGCTGGGTGGAGACAAGTGGAAAGGTAAGCTTTGACAGGCAGGTGAGATTTTTGTATATCTGAAGCTAGAACCAGCCACAAACTAATATGCAGGATACAGAGGCTGGGATAAAGCAAGAATCATAGAATCACAAAATGGATTGGGTTGGAAGGGATCTTAAAGATCATCTAGTTCCAAGCTCCCTGTCATGGGCAGGGACACCAAAACATCAGACAGGGTAGAGGGACATGCTACTTTCAGCTCCCAGGCACCACACCTGGACTGTGCAGGACAGTTTATGAACCTGTATTTGGGGTTGGAAGGATGAACATTTTCATATGTAAAGTCTGAATGGTCATTGGACAGAGCCAGTACTTGAATAATTTTCTCCAGAGACAGCAAAGAGTTAATTTAAAGCAGCAGCATCAATCCCTAGAATAGTCAGAGTCTAAACCCACACAAGAGCTGTGCTGCCTCACTCCAGAATCTGGAGCAAGGAAAACAGTGACAAAAATAAGATCATTCCTCAATTACTAAAGACAGAACTGTTAAATCAAGCTCAGAATTGTCCTTGAAGAATCTAGCTCTTCCCAGTTCTAAAATCAACCCCACATTCCTCTGAGGGTTTTCACAGATACAGCAATATGAAATCGCTCATTGCTGTGTAGCTGCTAACAAGAGACAGATGTTTCCCTCAGTTCCAGGAACATGTAGACATGAAGCGCATTATGATGACCCACTAAATACTTCTGACTCTTTCTGCATGTTATCTCTTCATGCATTTAGTCAAGGAAATGCAACACAATTCCATGCTTTCCCTCCTAACTACAGAGCTGACCAGAAGAGCACGCTTGGAGCAATTGCTTGATCTTAGCAAGCCTTCATCAGAGGGCAAGGAAAGTCAAGCAACACATTTTCACTGAGTGAAGCCAAAGTTGAGAGTTCCTGCAGTTACTCCAGAGCCAAACGAGCTGGTGGCTGTGAGCCACGTTATTTATTTAGCTGGTCCAGAAGACACGCACCGCACGCCGGCGTGCAGGACGAGCATCTGCTCCACTCAGACCTTTGGCTACATTCTTTGCTTGATATTAATACCAGGGAAAATTTAGTAACTTAACCACTGGCATGAAAAGTCATACTTCTAAGAGAACAGATGGCAGCGATCATCTTGGCTTAATTTTAGGCTTCAAAAATTGTTCTGAGTCAGCAAAGCCTCAAGGTAAGGGAAAGAAAAAGGCGCAACATCTGTAAAACCTCTTACCTGTTTCCCATCCAAGGTATACAGCTTTTTGACCACTCCTGTCTCCAGTTTTATAGCTTCGGTGATGTCAGTGAGAACTTGCTCAAATGAGTGGGCAGTCTTCTTGTTCAAGAGCACCCGCACTGCCTTGCGGGGCTTCACCCCGCTGCGGATGATGGTCACCAGCTTGGGGCGCACGAAATCTTTGTTCTCCTTCGCCTGGGCGCTGTTGCTGCTGGCCAGAGACTGAGGTGCTTTCTGGTTGGCAGATGTCTTCACGTTGACAGACCAGTTGGGGTTGACGTTCTTGGTGTATTCCACCTTCTTGAAGAAGTTGTCAGACGAGCAGACATAACTCTCCCCTTTTGAAAGAAATGAAATTCTACAGTTACTACAAAAAGGCTGCTGGAAAACAGACACTATACTTTCCTCCATCAATCCTGCAAACCATTGATAATTGTTTTCATCAGCACTTCCATGACAGCTTGTTATTAAAACATTTTGCCTTATTTTAATTTTATATTTATGATTATTTAAAATATGACTAGTATTTCCACAAACTAAGCTAGTCAGCCTTAGCTTGCATCAACAAATATATACAAGCACTCAGTCACATGAACCAGGGGTTAAAAAAGGTTGAATTATAAAGGTAGTTAGGTAGTGGAAGATGCAACTAAGCTGCCTAAGAGCTCCAAAACACCAAATTCATTTGACCACCTTCATTAAACTGTAACTTTGCCAGCTTCCTCTCCATCTTTACAGACCTAGCTACTACTTCAGTGTGTCATTCCCTGCCAGGAGGACATCAACATTCATCCACAAAGTACCTTTGCATCACGCTTGAAAAATAACAAAAATCTTGTACTGAATTGTCTCTACTAAAAGTAGCATTGATAAATCTAGCAGGCATAACAAATATGCTTTTTTAAATCTTCAGTGGTTTATTAGAGAACAGACCTAATGGCAGCTCAGATTAAGCACTACACCAAATGCCACTGCTTGCTTTTATAAGGCTGGTACCAACCAAAAATATATTAAATCCAAATTTAGACATGGTAGAGAAGGGTTACATGGTCTTCTTAGTAATTCACAAAAAGCCCTTCCCTATCCCACCCAAAATTAGTTTCAAGCTTTGTCTGTAATTTACAGGATCCTATCTATCTAAGGTTTTAAAAGCACCTTAAAGGATTTGTAGGATCTTCTTTTGGGCCTGCAAATCTGATGGATGCTAGAAGAGTTATTACTAGAATGAGACTGTAAACCAGTATCCCTAAGGGAATGTGGCTGTCTAGTCTGAAATGACTCAGGCTGCTGAGCACTTGAAGACACACTGAAAAAAAGTCAGTCACTGCTAGAGGAAAAAGCTTCTGTCTCGCCATTAGATAAAATTTTAATAGGAACTGAGGGCATAACCTGTAGGATTTTAGAGTTTCTTCTGGTGTTTTCTTGGGTTGATCTAATAGAATTAAGTTCTTCATGTATTACAATAGATTTGAAATCAAAATACAAATTTAACTATATTGAACAAGAAAAAAAAACTCCTTCTTCGCACAACCAGACTGGCTGCATTTCCTTATCTGTCCGTGCAAAATCCAGGACCTGGATATCTTTGAAAAGCCTACCTGACAGCTGAGTCTGGCTTCCCATTCCAGGACCTCTAGGGCAGGATTTGACATCCAATTGGCAGAGGTATAAATATGGATTTCCAAAGAGTCCACTGGTTTCTGCACAGCCCAGGCACGTAACGTACCTGGTATAATGTTCATACAGTCGTCCTTCTGCTGACTAAACTGCATTTTTGGTGGAGGCACCTAGAGGGTCCCTCCCTAGAACACATGGTGAGACCACTAACGGGCAATAAACAATAAACAGAAGACTTTACAGGCTTATAACAATAGTCTGTGTAGTATTTATGCCCTATTACCGCTAAGGGTTTGATGTCACAAGCAGCCATAGAAAAGACGCAGGATGCTCACTTATTTTAACCCTTTGTACTCAGTTTGCCACAAAATAATGCACACTTGTGGTGCTTACATCTCTGACTGCAGCTCTTCTCCATCAGTTGCACAAAAATGACCAAAATCTTTTATCAATAGGAAGCAGATATTCTGTTTTCCCTTCTAAAGATGGAATAAAAATACAGAAGGGAGAAGAGCTGACAAGGTTCATGACAAACACTGTCAGTTGGGCACTTCGTGAACTAGTTTACCCAAACTAATGCAATAATCCCACCTGGAGGTTCTGTTGGCTTGACCAAACAGTAAAAATTTGTATTTGCTGTCAGAAAAAAAACTCATTAAACTGACCATATAGTAGTACCCATAGCTGAAGCTCCTTAATTCCTCATATTTTGTGAATCTGACTCAATAGAAACTTAAGTATACTCCTCAGAGTACCACACATTATAAAGAATTCCCACTGGAGATATCATTTTCCAGAAGCATTGAGTACTCCAGATCTTCCTGATTAATAAGTGATAAGCTGTGGTTTATTCATCTGCTTCAGCCAAGTAACACCTGGTGTGGAGCAGGCCCAGGCTTCTCTCCAGTTTCACAGCGGAGCGTGAAGGGCAGAGGGGGGAATTTGGAATGCTCACAGGGAATTATCCCTGTCCTAAGAGCCTGAGCCCTCCCAAGCCCATAATCCCTGGGTGGCAGAGCCCTTATAAGTGTGTTCAGAACAGAACTGTGCATTATCCTCTGAGAAAATGGATTTCTCTCTTTGAACGCAACACTGAGTGATTTGAACACTGCTGTCACCCCTGCCCCAGGCTTCCCTCTGGAAGCTCCTGACCTCACCTGCACCTCTGCTTCCTGAAAAACAGAAGTAGCAATACCAGCCACTGAAGTGTGGCAAGGCTTGACTTTCACCCATGTTTGTCTAATGCTTTTGGATAGAAGACGCCACAACAAAAGAAAATATATATTTGCACTGTGTTCTACAAACACATGAGGTGGTGCAGCGTATTTTCCATTAATAGGTTCCATGTTTTAAAGCAAGTAAAAGAGATTCTTGGTCTGTTTAGTACAGTAGTATTACTCTTATTTCCAGCTGAATCCTTTTAAATTCCTTACTGTGCACCACAGCTGTGTATTTACACCAGTGTACACCAGAGGCAATAGTGGCATGAAGGCAATACTCTCGTAGGCTTTTTTTCCCTCAAATGTGCTCTCAGGTAGTTGTACAGATCTACACACTGGCCTTTCAAGTTGTACTCACAGTCACAAGCAGAAAATAGAATCTGCCCTTTCTCACTTTGTTTCATTTAGCCCAAACCCTAGCAAATATTTTATTGGGTTCTAAAACTGGAAAGAAATTTGTTTGGAGTGATAATTCAGGATAGCAGTTCAGAGCTCTTCTCAGTGTCATTTTTGCAGTTATGGCTGTATAGCTCCAGGGAAAAGCAGCTTTTCTCTCCTTCTTCCCTGACCCAAAGATGTAACCTGAAGCTTTAACTTAATTTAAAAATCACTTCAACTGATGTCTTCCCAAACTCAGTTTATGACCCTCAGATAGTAGCAAAATTATCATTCAGGTTCCTCAGTGAGGCACATCCATTTGCCAGCCAGGAACATGTGCTATCCCACTTCCCAGAGTGGAGTTTTACCCAAACCTTACCGTGGTAGTAGCAGGATTGAGCAAGTGTGGGTGGGAGACCTGTGAACTTTCCAGCTTTGAACAAGCATCCTGTGGCCAGGAGATCATAAAAAAAAGAGATATCCTATGGGGAATACTGCTACCTTAGAGGGAGGAGTGGTTTCCTGGTTTCTCTGCCACATCTGTCTGTGCTAAGCCTATAATGAGAAGTCAAGGTGTACCACTGGGCCAGTCAGAGTTTGTAAGTGATTGACACAGTGTGGTTGCAGAAGACGTGCACAGCATAACAGAAGGATGGGAAGTGAACATGAGCTTTTGTGAAATGCAAAAGAAACAACTCCAAGAAGAATATATAAGCACAAAAATCTGTGTACAAATATTTGAAGGAACACGTCTTGAGCCAGCCAGCAGCTGTGCACACATGCAGCAATCCAGCTGTAAACCATGAGAAGGTGTGATGAACAGCCACGTCAGTACTTCCAAACAAAACTCCAAATGGGAGCCCCAAAGAGACACACTCATGCACTTGAGGGTGGGAAACATCATCCTGACAAGATCCAATCTGCTGCTGAACACCAGCTATGGTACCAAGGACAGCATTTGTTTAGTGCAGGGCCAGGTCAGTGCACGATGCCCCTTCTGCACTGGGGAGTCAAAGCCCTGCAGGATGATGTGCACCTGTCATCATGCCAGTGTGCTCCCGAGGTGTCACAATTCCTATCACGCCACCAAACCAGCCAAGGCACTTATTTACTCCTGTCCTGCCTTTAGCAATAGATGGACTGACTGCAGACCTTTGACCTTAAGTCATGATCATCATATTTGCCATTTGAAGCCACGGCTTGTATCACACCAAATTACTCTGGCTACAAATGCGTGACACATTCCTGTGCTACCAATTTGACAGAAGCACAAGGCGATTATTCAGCTCCTAAAGAAGGGATGATCTCAGCAAAGATAAGGTTTGCCTTAGAGAAGGTTCCTCAGAAAAACCCTAAGCTCCAGAGTAGTGCTAATCCTTCAACCCTCTTACAAGCAGCTCCTTGTGACAATACTAGAAATGACAGGCTGTGCTTTCAGAAAAAGTTATCCTTCCTCAGCACACACCAGCAAGTTTCCAAGGATAATGAAATGCAGTCAGAAGTCTTATGAGAAAAACCAGGAAAGCTGAAGTGAGGCCATTTTGAAAGTGTAACTGTTAACACTTATTCCAAAACCAGTCCCTCTGGGCTGCAGTCAATTATTTTGGCTGTTAGCTCTGCTGTTGCAAAGTTGAGATTCTGCTACTGTGCTCAGCTTTAATGTTTCATGGAATTTACTACCACTGCAATAGGAATTAAGTGGACTTAACACCTTGCAGAGTTCATTCCACATGGTGTTGAAGCAGGCCTTTGGTTTCAAATGCGTGAACTTCCTGCTGCTTTGTGCATTAAAAAGACCTGCTCCACCATGGCAAAATGAACTTTGGAAGAGCTTCCTTCCTTTGGCTCTTCCACAGGGATCTCTCCCATGAAGAGAAGCACCTCTTGTTCTGTTGAAGAGCTGAAAGAAATGTGTGATTAGAAATTACCTTCAAAAGCACACGATGCCTGTAGAGAATTTTGGGGCCACGCTGGTCCCAGTGTGACAGCCAGGATGAGCAAGCAAATAAAACAGAACCTCAAGGATAAATTTCGTTGTGTAGGATGCTATTAGCTGAGCTATCAGGACAACAGCCACAGAAAACAATTCCACAGGTTACCAAGGTTTCAGTATTGGACTACAT